CCCCCCCCCCCGAAAAAAGTTTTTTTCCCCTAGGCTCCTTTTTCAACCATTGGTGGTTGGTTGGTTTTTAGCCCTGATGATGTTACCTAGTTGGGTCATGAAATGTCTGCAAGAAAACAATCAAGCTCAGAGAGCACCCAGGACCCCCACAATAGTCCTTCTCCTCTTCCTCCCCTCCTCCTCTTCCTTCCCTCCCCATCTGCTCTTCCTCCTCCCTCCTCCTCCTCCTCTCCGCAGCCCCTCCTCCCTTCTAGCACTGATGATGTTATCTAGTTGGGTCATGCAACTTCTGCAAGAAAGCCACCCAGCTCAGAGAGCACCAAGGACCCCACAGTCCTTCCTCCTCCTCCTCCTCCTCCTCCTCCTCCTCACAAACCTCACTCCCCTTCTAGCCCTGATGATGTTCCCTACTTGGGTCATGAGACGTCTGCAAGAAAACTCAGAGAGCACAAGGATCCCACAGTCGTCCTCCTCCTCCTCTCTGCAAAAAAACCTTCCTGTTTAACACTGATGTTGTTACCTAGTTGGGTCATGAAATGTCTGCAAGAAAACAACCACGCTGAGAGAGCATAAGGACCCTTATTCCTTCTTCCCCCTCTTCCTCGCTGCATACCTTCTATCATCTCTAGATGATGTTACCTACTAGGGTCATCTCTAGATGATGTTACCTAGTTGGGTCATGAAACGTCTGCAAGAAAATAACCAAACTGGGGGAGCACCAAGTCCTCCACCTCCTCCTTTTGGTGACCACACCTGGATGCTGTATTCCAAGTGTGGCCTTACCAAGGCCTTATAAAGCGGTACTAACACATTACGTGATCTTTATTCTTCTGTCGATGCAGCCTAGCTCTGTGTTGGCCTTTTTGGTTGCTGCCGCACACGGCTGGCTCCTATTTAAGGGATGGTCCACTAGGACTTCCGAGGTCCCTCTTGCAGCTATTGCTATTGAGTTAGGTACCACCTATACTACTACTCTACCTGTGCATTTGGTTTGTCTTGCCTAATTGTAAAACCTTATTTTCTTCATCATTGACTTTCATTTTGTTAGATAGGGCCCCGGGTTCAAGTCTGTCAAGAACCTTCTTTATCTTCAGCCTGTCTTCTGAGGTGTTGGCTGTTCCTGCCAGCTTGGTTTAGAATAATAGGATAACAGAGTTGGAAGGGACCTTGTAGGTCATCTAGTCCAACCCCCCCTCCTCGCCCAAGCAGAAGACCCTACACCATTTTCAGACAAATCGCTGTCCAATCTCCTCCTATGATGATGATGATGATGATGATGATGAACAAACGGGCTGATTGTTCCAATCCTTGCAAGATAACTAATGGAGAGAAAAAAAGAAAGGCATCCGCGGAACCCGTACATCCACAGCCACACATGCATCTTCATTTTCCTATCTCTATAATTCGGATGGCTTCATAGGTGGCTTCTTTTCAACGACGCATGCGCCGAGGCAAGAACGCATTGCCCCTCGAACACTCTTCGTGTCCTATCTCTATGATTCCGATGGTTATGGAGGCGGCTTCTTTTTCACGACGCATGCGCCGAGGCAGGAACACCTTCCTTCGGACACTGCGCCTGCGCGTCTCGGCGCGCTATAAGCTTGCTACAGCGCCTGCGCGAGGGGAAAGTCAGCTGCTTTTGCTTGCTGTTCCCCCGTCCTTGGCGCGATCATGGCGGGCCGGGGGAAGCTGATCGCCGTCCTGGGCGACGAGGACACGGTGACCGGGTTTCTGCTGGGCGGCGTGGGCGAGCTGGACAAGCACCGGCGCCCGAACTTCCTCGTGGTGGAGAAGGAAACGGCGCTGGCCGAGATCGAGGAGGCCTTTCGGTGAGGGAGGAGGAGGGGGGGTGGCGAAGGAGGGAGAAGAGCCGGGAGGCGGTTGCCCGGGAAACGGCAAGGGAAGGACCATTGCGCTCTGAAAACGGGGGATGGGGCGCTGCGTTTGGGAAGGGACCATTGCCTGTCATGGGGGCAGTTTGGATGAAACCAAGCCAATGTAAACCGGCAGGGCGGAAGAGACCACCTACTCTTCGGCGGGGGCGTCGCAGAAAACGTGAGGCTAAACCATTCCAGGCCGGGGGGGGGAAGCAATGCTTGTTTAATGGGGGTTATTTTAATGGGAAGGAACTAAATGGGAAGAAATGATGGATTGAGTAAAAAGAGGAAGAGCCGTTTCTAGATGTAGGTAATCCTTGCATTACGACCACAATCCAGCCCAACCAGACAGTTAAGTGAGATTTGCCCTGTTTTATGACCTCCTTTGTTCCCGTTGTTAAGCGGATCAGTGCAGTTAAGTTAGTAACCTGGTTGTTAAGTGAATCCGGCTTCCCCATTGACTTTGCTCGTCAGAAGGTGGCAAAAAGGGGAATCACATGACCCCTGGACGCTACGACCGTCGTAAGTATGAGTCAGTTGCCAATTTTGATCGCTTGTCCATGGGGATGCTGCAACGGGCGTAAGTGTGAAAAACGGTCGTAAGTCGCATTTTTCAGTGCCAGTGTAACTTCAAACCATCACTAAAAGAACCATCTTAAATCGGTTAGAATAGGGGTCTTCAAACTGGGCCCTTTGATGACTTGTGGACTTCAACTCCCAGAATTCCTCAGCCAGGCACGCGTGGGGTTGGACTAGATGACCTCCAGGATCCTTTCCAACTCTTGATATTCTGTTAATCAGTGCAATGGCTTGCCTCCAGAAGTTGTGGGTGCTCCATCACTGGAGGCTCCTAAGAAGAGATTGATTGGACAGCCATTTGTCTGAAATTGTGTAGAGTTTCCTGCCTGAGCAGGGGGTTGGACTAGATGACCTCCAAGGTCCCTTCCAACTCTTGTTATTTTGTTAATCAGTGGAACTGCTGGCCTCCAGAAGTTGTGGGTGCTCCATCACTGGAAGCTCCTAAGCAGAGATTGGACAGCCATTTGTCTGAAAATTGTGTAGAGTTTCCTGCTTGAGCAGGGGGTTGGACTAGATGACCGCTAAGGTCTCTTCCGGCTCTGTTCATTCCGTTATAGTATTTCTAAAAGCTGGAGTCAGAATAGAATAACTTTATTGTCGCTTTAAATCCGCACTAATCGGCACAGGTTAACATGAAATTTCGTTGCCTAAAGTTCTCAACGGGCCGCCACCTGCAAATGTACACTACATATGACCCCCCAAAATTGCATATATTCTGTGACACAGATAAACAACACAGTCTGGTTCGGATGTGTTACATGTACGTGGCGAGAAAAATGAATCTTGCGAGTTTGCCAGACGGATGTCGTAGGGAGCAAATCTCCTATGGGTTTCTGTGCAGTCCCCACCCTTAAATTTCCTCGCTGTTGGGTTTGCTGGTCATGGTTAGAACTGGCCAGCATAATCCTGTAGTCACCTCTTTGCAAAACCTGAGAAGGCCTTGGGCTCAGCCGGTGCTTTGTTTGCCCACAAACACAAAAAGTCCAGCGCTGGCTGCTTTTTGCGGGTCTCAGTTTCCCTGGGAAGGACCTGCCCTTGTCCTCCGTGACCTTGAGGGAGCAGGAGAGTCAAAGGAGGCAGGATTCGGTCCCTGCCCGGCGGCTTTTTTCCCCAGAAGGAAATATTTCCCCAATTTGGGAAATCCCTCATTTGCTCTTCGGAGGAACTCTGTGGATCGTGCGGGTATCCTGCTTTAAGTTCAGAAACAATCATTAAATCACGGTTTCTCAACCTCAGCCACTTTAAGATGTGGTGGCTGGGGAACCCCTGGAGTTGTAGTCCACACATCTTAAAGTGGCTGAGGTTGCAAAACACTGAACTGTTTTGGGAACAATCGTCTTACTTTCCAGAATAATTTTTATGGGGTCTTCTTCCCGTAGATAAAGTCTATCTTTGGTTTGTTTTAACCTTTTTTTTTATTATGTTCTGTTCCCATCATCTGTAAGCCGCCAAGAGTCACCTTATAGTAGAGGGAGCCCTAGTACAGTAGTAGAGGAAACCCCAATAGTAGCCCCAATAGTAGAGGGTGCCCTAGTAATTGCCCTAGTAGTAGAGGAAGCCCCAGTAGTCACCCCAGTAGTAGTAGGTGGAGCCCCAAGGAGTTTGTGGAGTCCCAGTAGTAGCCCTGGTAGTAGGAGGAGCCCCAAAGAGCTGATGGAGTAGCACCAATAGTAGATGGAGCTCCAGTAGTAGCCCCAATAGTAAAGGGAGCCCCAATGGTAGCTCCAGTAGTAGAGGGAGCCCCAGTAATTGCCCTACTAGTAGAGGAAGCCCCAATAGTAGCCCAGGAATAGAGGAAGCCCTAGTAATTGTCCTAGGAGTAGAGGAAGCCCCAATAGCCCCAGTAGTAGGAGGTGGAGCCCCAAGGAGTTTGTAGAGTCCCAGTAGTAGCCCCGGTAGTAGGGGGAGCCCCAAAGAGCTGATGGAGTAGCCCCAATAGTAAAGGGAGCTCCAGTAGTAGCCCTAATAGTAAAGGGAGCCCCAATGGTAGCTCCAGTAGTAGAGGGAGCCCTAGTAGTTGCTCTAGTAGTAGAGGGAGCCCCAGTAGTAGAAGGTGGAACCCCAAGGAGCTGGTGGAGTTGCCCCAGTAGGAACCCCAGTAATAGGGGGAGCCCTAGTAGCAGCAGTGGGGGAGAGCCCCCAAGAACCGACCCCTTGTAACTCCTCTGCCCCACTTCCCCTCCGCCTGCAGGGGCTTCCTGGGCCGCGAGGACATCGGCATCGTCCTCATCAACCAGTTCATCGCGGAGATGATCCGCCACGTCATTGACGCGCACACCAAATCGTTGCCCGCCGTGCTGGAGATCCCGTCCAAGGAGCACCCCTACGACGCCTCCAAGGACTCCATCCTACGCCGGGCCAAGGGCATGTTCACCGCCGAAGACTTGCGGTAGGCGGCCCGGAGAGTCCACTCCCGACCCGGGCCGACATCTACTACTTCACGGTGGTGACCTCTTCCTCTGCCTCTCCTCGTGTTGCCTTCCGGTCCTTCACCTTCCGCTCCTCGTCGTGCGGAGGAACGAGTCTGCGTTGGAGACTTCTCCTTCGGCCCTCTTGAGCGTCCAGGCTGCTGTTCCTCCCCTCCTGTTGACCTCATTGGAGTCAGGAACCATGGAAGAACCCTGGTTCTAAGCGCGGCTGGCTGGGGGATTCTGGGAGTTTGACGTCCAAAGGGCTTCCAATTCGCCAAGATGGAGCGTGAGGTTCCACCATCCAATCCGGGGTTTCTCAACCTCGTAAGACGGGTGGACTTCAACGCTGGTGGCGTGGTGCCCACTTCCCTTTCATCTGGGATTCTTTGGAGAAGACCCCCTCCTCCCCTCCATTTTCTCCATGGGACCCAAGTTGCGTCCCCCATATTTCTCTGGGGCCAGAATTGTCTTGGTTGCTTTTCCATGTCCTGCTTTGATCCTTGTTCTTCATCACCAGTTACGCTTCTCAACACAGATCTAGATTAGGGGTCTTCAAACTTGGCCCTTTGATGACTTGTGGACTTCAACTCCCAGAATACACATGCCTGGCTGAGGAATTCTGGGAGTTGAAGTCCACAAGTCATCAAAGGGCCAAGTTTGAAGACCCCTGCTCTAGAGGTACTTCGGCCCAAGTCCTCTGCTTCTTCTCCCTGTCCTCCTACTTCCTGCTATTTAAGCCCTTTCCTTGAGAATGGAACCCCAAAAATGGGTTTGACGTTAAGCTGGGATATCCTGGCTTGATGCCTTGGAGAAGCTGGTCTGTCTATCTGTTTCCTAGAGTGCAATACCCAAACATCTGTCTCCCAGAGGATTTACAATCCAGATGAAAATTGTTCCAATTTTTCCCTCCCTTCGAAAGGGAATTCTGTTCCTGAGGATGGAGGTTGTCCCCTTGACCGTTGGTTGGCTAGAAGGAAGTTCTCCTCCGATGAACCATTTTGAGTCTTCTTCAGCCTAGCTCCTGGTTTCCCAGCCTTGGCTGCTTGAAGACGTGTGAGTGTGGACTTCAACTCCCAGAATTCCTCAACCAGCAGGGTTCTAAGTATGGCTGGCTGGGGGATTCTGGGGGTTGTAGTCC